CTGTGTCCTGAGTCCCTGTGTCCTGAGTCCCTGTGCCCTGAGTCCCTGTGTCCTGAGTCCCTGTGCCCTGAGTCCCTGTGATTCCACCGTGTCCTGAATCATTGTGTCCTGAGTCTACTGTGTCCTGAGTCACTGTGCCCTGAGTCCCTGTGAGTCCGCCGTGTCCTGAATCACTGTGTCCTGAGTCCCTGTGCCCTGAGTCACTGTGTCCTGAGTCCCTGTGTCCTGAGTCCCTGTGCCCTGAGTCACTGTGTCCTGAGTCCCTGTGCCCTGAGTCACTGTGCCCTGAGTCCCTGTGCCGTGACTTTGCCCCTTGGGTTTTCCTTGAGAGCTGAGCCTCCTGGGGAGCTTGGGCCTGCCCCCTGGGAAACGCAACATGGCCCCAGCCCATGGTTGTCCCTCTTTACCCCTGAAAGGAAGGCTCCTTCAGGCTGAATGGCACCCACTGGGAGGGGGGCAGCATCACCCACCTGCTCCCATGATGAGGCCCGGGGCGCTGTCCTTGGTGTGCACGGTGCCCGACACATAGGGGTTGTCTGCCCAGCGCAGGTGCAGATGCAGGTGACAGTCAGGCTGCAGGGGGGAAGGGGGCGTCAGCAGGGGAAGGAGTGTCTTGGGGAAAGCTGGGCCTGTGGGGTCTGGGGAGAGGGCAGGGCCTGGGGCGCTTGGAGGAGTGGAGGGGCAAGAAGCAGGGCTGTGCTGGCCACTAGGGGCAAGGACAAGGACATGTGGTCCAGAGGCCCCGGGGGTGGCGGGAGGTGGAGTGGGACCAGCAAGGCATCTGGGGGACAGGTCCATTCTCTGCTCTGGATTAGTGGCCCTGCGTCATCTGCGTGGGGGGCTCTGCTTGGCTGAAGTGCCAGAGCTCACGGCTGGCCTCAGGCCGTCGGCCCTCCCAGGTCCCTGCTGAGCACTTGCCCCCCCCCCCCCCCCCGCCTGGGTGGGGCGGGGCCGAGGGAGGGCCATGCCTTCCGCTGCTCCTGCCCAGCCCAGCCCAGGCGCGGTCCTGCTTGGTTGCACTTGGGCTGGAGGTGGACCCTGTGGTCACTGGACACTGGAGACACAGGCTGAGGTCCCTTCTGGTGCCCTGTGGGGCCACTGACTGCCACATATTCCTCTCTCCAGCTGTCTCTCCTGGGGCAGGGGGGTCTCCTGGCACTGACCAGAAGGCAAGGGCAGGTAAAGGGCAGGCCGGGGCTCCAATGCCCCATGAAGGACACAGGACAATAAGCTCCGATGGTACCAGAGCTGTCCAGGCACGTGGCAGACGGGGCTGGTCCTCTGAGCCTGCCAGGGTAAGGGCAGGGACCAAGGGCAGGCTGGTGCCCAAGAGCTGGTCCTGATGGAGGTGAGCCGGGCACTGGGGCTGGTGGGCTGCAGGGAGYCCCTGGCCCTCAGCGACCTCCCCCAGTGCTGGGGGCGCTCTCCAGAAGGCCAGCAACCATCACAGACAGACAGATGGACAGAGGGAGAGGGCCGTGTTGCCAGCCACCCAGCACCCAGCTCCTGCCTCGGCCTGGCTAAGGGACCCCCGGGGGGCCAGCACGGGGTTTCTCTTCAACAGTTCAAAACCATTTCCCCACCGAGAGGCATGATGCTGAAGCACATCTGATGGCCCCTCTAGTGACAGCACCTCGTCTCCCAGCCCTGCCAGCCCCGTGGCCCCGGAGAAGACACCGACCCCGGAGGACCAGAATAAAGGAGACCAGGGAATCCGCGGCCTCCGGATCCACGGAGGAGCCCAAAGCCGCTGTTCCAGGGGCTGGTCCAGGGCCTCAGCCCCATCACCCTCTCTGTTTTCCAAGCCTTCTGCCATGAGCAGGAATCACTCCTGGGGAGACAGGCCCCGGGTCCACCTGACACCTGAGGCTGAGCGGGGCCGTCCACCACGCCCAGGTGGGAAAACCCGGCCTCCCAGTGGGGCTTGATTTTGGTGTCTTTTGTGCCCTGTGGGCTCCCATGTCCCTTGCTCAGGTGCTTGAATGCCTGCCTTGGGGCGTGCTTTCTGGTTCGCTTCCATTTTTATAATTTTAGGGTTGGGACATAATCCTGCAAAGGCCATTTCCTCGCTGAGTGCGAATTACAGAGGAGAACCGGTCCCGGCAGAAACTTGCTCTGGCAGATTAATAGGGCTCAACTCTGCCAGGAGCACACGCTCTCCGCCCTTCCCCGCGGCTCTGCTCTCGGTGGGCGCTGACACACGGACTCAGTCCCCACACAGCTGGGCAGGTATCGGGGTCCCCGGGGGTCACAGGTGGGGCCTGAGCAGGGCCCCTGGGAGGGGAGCAAGGGGCAGAGAGCAGGCCGCCTGGTGTGTGCCAGGCGGAGTCCCAGCAAGGCCGGCATCCTCTGCTGTGCTCGGAGGCCGGGTCGGGCCCACCACGCGCAGGCGCAGGCCCCGGACAGGCAGAGCCAGGCTTCCTGCTTTAAACATGAGAGGACTGTGGCAGAGCAATGAGAGGGGTTGGCCGTCCCCTGTGGGGGGTCCTGCCCGAGAAGGGCTTGCAACTGGCAGAGTCAAATGGAGAGGCAAGATGCCCAGTGGAGTGGACCACGGGCAGGGTCTCCAGGTGTCGCTAGGAGTTCTGTGGGCAGGGAGAGGGAAGGGCATCCTGGGCTTAGGGACAGTGGGAGGGGGTTCCTTGCTGCTTGCTCTGTGCTAGGGACTGGGAAGGGTGTGCAGGCCATTTCACGTCCCCTAGCTAAAGGCCACCAGGGACTGCTATCCTGTTCCCTTCCAGCAGAGGCTCAGAGGCAGAGGGACGCCGCAGAACGTGGCGTCAGCAGGGGGCTGAGCTGCAGCTGTCAGGTCCAACCCTGGAGCAAGCTCTGGCCCTGCCCCTCCTGAGCAGCCCACGCTGGCAAAGGCCAGGCAAGCTCCCCACAGAAGCCAGGAGAGAGGCCCTGGGAGAGGTGGGCCCCCGGGCAGGGGACGCGAGGGCCTGGCTAGACCCATGGCCCGGCCAGCCTCTTTCCTTGCTGCAGCCGGCCGTGAGCTCACCTCAAGCCAGGGCCAGGGAAGGCCAGGGCTCCTAGTGCTGCCTTGCCCTCCTCACCAGCAGGGGCCACACGGGGCTGGGCACCCAGAAACTTGGGGACTCTCAGGATGCAAGGGGCCCTGCACACCTGTGTCCATGCAGAAGCGTCCCCAGGCAGGTGGGTCCCGCATAGGAGCCCGTGGCTTGGCCACCCCTTGGTCCCTGCTCAGGGGCCTGTGGCCTCTGGTGGCAGGTATCACTCTATGCCTCTCACCCCCCTCGAGCAGAGTATGTCCCCAGACCTGGCTGTTGGCCAAGGAGACGTGGCAGGTGCCACAGGTGGGCTGGGAAGCTGCTGGCTGCCCCGTCTGTCCTGGGAACCCACCTGCACTGGCCCCAGAGCGGGGAGGCAGGACAGGAACATGGTCACTCCCTCCCTGCCAGCCTGGGGATCCAGGGAGCCGGTCCCGTGGCTACAGCTCCCCGGGCCTGTCGGTCTCTGTGCCCCTCTCCCCATGCCCAGGGCGGGGACTCGCATGTCTCAGGTCCTTCAGTCACCCCCAGTGCCCCGGGGAGGCAGCAGGCACCCCCTGTGCCCACAGAGGGCAGAGCACTCACGGGCTGGCAGTGGGTGGGCTTCCCGTTCATGTCGGTGCTGGGCGGCCTCAGGTGGTCCCAGTCGCGGCCCTTGTTGTAGGTGATGAGCGTCGTCACCTTCCCGTCAACCTTCTGGTTGGCCAGGAAGACCCCTTTCACCCCTCTGACCTGGGGAAATGCAGGAAGGACTGTGAGGGCCTGTGGCCACTCTCTAAAGCCACACAGCCACCGTGCCCCCGCGGCCTGCTCGGCCGGAGCTCCTGCTAGGGGTGAGCCGGGCCGGGGGCAAGGCTTCCAGGCCTGGGCTCCAGGAGGCTGGTTCTCCCAGCTCCAAGGCCTGGACGATTTGCGCCACACCGAGTTGTGCTCCCAGGACCCGCTGACCACCCGATGGTGAAGCAGGTCCCCTGGCCTGCCCATGACCCCAGCCACGGGTCTCATGCAGAGCACAGGCTCACCTCACCTCACTCTGTGGGGCCTGCAGGTCCCACACCAGGGCTCTGCATCTGGGTCCCCTCCTGGGACTCCAGCAGCTCAGCTGCCCCTGGGAACGTCAGGAGCAAGGGCCGGGGGGGTCGTGCTAACCCAGAATGCTCGGGACGGGCCCAGGCTGTCACTGCTTTCTCCCTCAAGGGTCCAGAGGCCCAGGGCTGTGGTTCGCCCACACCCAGGGTGGTCACTAGTTGACCTGGAAGACGAGAGCAGGTTTTCCGTTCCTCAGTAACACCCGCACTCCCGCACAGAGATATCTCTGCAGGCTCCTGCTGCGTGGATGTCTTGGGCCCATTTTCTGTGCTGTGAACAGGCTCAGGACTCCTGCTCGCCCACCTGTGGGCAGCGGTCGGCCTCAGCACCGGGGCTTGCCACTATTTCTTGCAAAACACCTCAGGAGACTGAGGCTCCGGGAGCTGTGTGGAACCCCAGGTTCTGCACCCGAGGACTGTAGTTACGCTGATGGAAATAACAGTCATTAGTGGCTTCTCAGTGGCAGGCGCTGAGCCAAGACAGGCCACTGTGTCACTCCTGCAGCCCCGGGAGGCTGGTGCGTCTGCCCTCCTCAGTGTGCAGGTCTGTGGGTAACCACCCCCTGCGGGGCGCTGGCGGGGCAGGGTGGGGAGTRGAGCGTTAGCGTCCTCCTGCTGTGACAGAACATGGCAGGCAGGGCTTGGCCCTCCAGCTCCGCAGGTCAGGAGTCTGACGGTGTCCCCCCGTCCCATCAGCAGGGCTGCACCCCTCTGTAGCTCCAGCAAAAGTCCTTAATCCCCTCCAGGCCCCTTGGCCCTGCGAGGTGAAGGTCACGGTTGGAGGACTAGGATGTGGACGTTTGGGGGGCCACGATTCTCCCACAGTCGGGAGGGGCTGAGTGGCCCTTCAGAGCTGGACCCTGTGGGACTTGGGGGCTGGCTTCATGGGGTGATGCAGGGCAGCAGGGTCGTGCTCTTTGCCTGGGGACCATGGTCTTATAGGCACAGGCGGGTGTAGTTAGAAACCCAGCAGGTGCCTAGCGCTGGGCTGCTTCTCGGCTCTCGAGCCAGCTCTGACCCATGGCGAATCCACACCCGGTCCACTGTGGGCCTGCAAGGCACAGYGGGAGGCCGTGACCCGAGGTACACTGCCTGGCCTCTGCCCAGGAGGCTTCAGGGTGCTCCTGCTGGGGTGGCAGCTGCAGGCAGGCTAACAACCTGCACCACGGTGGCTGTCCTGGAAGGCGGGGACTGGCCCTCCAGACTCGGCACCAGCACAGGCTCCTCCAGCCAGGCCCAGCTTCTCAGTGAGAAGTGGCTCCAGGCCCAGGACCCAGGCTCCAGGTCATGGGGCTGAGCCTGGCTGAGCTCTGTGCCCAGCTGTGGGCCTGTGGCCAGCTTAGCCATGGACAGTGACAGCCTGGGACCACAGAGGGCATGCTGGGTGAGCTGGATCTCTGCCCTGCAGGAGAGGGCATGAGGAGCTGGTCCTGGCTCAAGGCCCCAGGCACAGCCCCGTGGGCTCCGGACTGCGGCTCACCCGGCTCTTCCCTGACACCCAGTCCTGTCACCCCGGGGTGCTCCCGGCCTCCCTGCAGAGTGCTGAGCCCTGCTGTGCTCGGGAGTAGCTCTGATGGATGGGGTCCCTTGTAACCCACTGTTCTTTACTGTCCTGGGACAGTGGCATCTCACTGTGGCTGACAGTCCAGAGGAGCCAGGAGCAGGCAGCCCTGGGCTGGTGCTGACCTGGGGTGTCTGGGTTGTCCGCCTTCTCTGACCCTCAGCTTCCTGAGCTGTGCACGGGCTGAGTACCCTTCCTGCTCCCTGGCTAGAAAAGGTCCAGGAGGGGAGCCTGGGGGCAGGGCTGGGGACATCGTGGCCCACCGAGAGCCCTGGCCGGGAGCCAGGAGTCTGCACCAGAGCCTGCATCCATGCTGGAGCCGGAGGCCAGAGCAGAGGAGGCTGGCGTGGGAGACAGAGGAGACCCGGACCCAGGGAGGGCAGCTCACAGCTGGCAGGGGAAAGAGGCCCCAGGCACTAGGCTGGGGCAGGACGGCCCCGCACGGAGGCCAGTTTCCATCCTGGGAGGGAGTCGAGGCTGCGTCTGTGTTGGGAAAGGCTCCGCAGATGCTCTCCAGTGCGGTACCCACCCTGTGTGGGGCTGTCCCTGGATCCCCTTCTTCCCTTTACCAAAGCTCGCACTGAGTGGCCACTGCATCTGGACCTCCTGAGGTGTCTCCGTACCCTCTTGGCCTAATGCGTTCGGCCCTTCAGAGGTGTTTGCAGACCCCTGAGACAGCGAGTGGGGACAGGACAGGGAGGGGTCCCCCTGCCGCGGGCCGTGCCCACCTCGAGGACGTCGATGACCACGCTCTCCTCGGCCTGCCGCGAGCTGCGCACGTCCTCCAGCACCAGGGTGTAGTGCACTCCACGCGGGTCCGACTGGTACAGGTTGTAGGTGTCCACCTGGTACCACTCCTGCACCGCCACGAACACCTGGCTCTCGTCCGTGCTGATGATCTGCAGGTCCTGGGGGACAGCGGCGGGGTCAGGGCCGGCTCGGCCGCAGCCCCCCGGCTCCCTCGGGGTCAAGCCATCTGGATCTGCACCCTGGCTCTCCACGTGTGGCTCCGTGGCCCTAGACAACCCCTTCACCTCCCCAGGGCGAGGGTCGGACCCTCCATACCAGGCCACCCTCCTCCTGCCCCCCCAGGCAGGCTGTCCTGCCACCCAGCGGGTTCCTCCAAGCACCCTCATGGCCAGCATGACCAGGGTGGGCTCCCTCCCCCACATGGGGCCAGCGCTGCCCTGCCACGGGGATGCAGAGCCGGATGGCGTCCAGTCCCCGGGAACGACCCACCCAGGGCCGACCCAGGGCCTCAGGTCCCAGGATATCTTCACTGCCCGATGACCCGACCCAGGAGCTGTGGTCAGCCTGCTTCCCTGTGCAGCTGTCACCCATCCTGGGGCCCCAGGGCGGTCAGGGAGGGCTTCCCTGGGAGGGAGCGTGGAGAAGGGAGTGTGGAAAGGAGCGGCCGGCACTGGTCCAGCCTGGGCTTCCCCCTCAGGGAGCCACAGGCCAGGCAGCTCCAGGCTCGGCAAAGTGGTCTCGGGTCAGTTCAGAGTTCAGAATCCAGAAAGAAAAGAAATCCCATGAGGAGGCAGCCAGGCTGCCCTGTTGGTGTCCTTCCCCAGGCCACATGCTGCGTGGGAGCCTGGACAGAGGTGGCCACACAGCCTGGTCTCTCAGCCATGCTCTGTGGCTCTCCAGCCTCTGGCTTGGTCTTCCGTTGATCTGATCCTTTGTTTTTTTTGCATGGGAACTGAAACCCAGGGGTGCTAACCACTGAGCCCCATCCCCAGCCCTTGTTATATTTCATTTAGAGACAGGGTCTCACTGAGTTGCTAGGGTCTCACTGAATTGCTGAGGCTGGCTTTGAACTTGCAACCGTCCTGCCTCAGCCTCCCAAGTCGCTGGGATGACAGACGTGCACCCACGGGCCCGTTTGTGCTGAACGTTTATTGCCCTCTGACCCTAGGGTTCCCAGGGTGTGGGGCTGCAGGTGGCCACTGCCCGGGCCCTTCTCCCTGTGCAACCTCGGGCTGAGCCTCGTGTTCTGCAGCCAATCTGCATCCTCAGCTGTGCTGACTCTTTATACGGAGACCCGGCCCTCCACCAGGCTGCCAGCTGGGCCCTATGCTGCGCAGCTGAAGGGGCCTTTGTAGAAGAGAGAGGTGACATCGTGGAGCACCTGCCATGCACCCTGAAAATGGGACAGCCCATGGCTGTGTCTGTGGACATGATTGTGACACACAGAAGTGAAAGGCACCAAGAAGCAAGCAGAGCGGAAGGATCAGGAGGCCCCAGGGCCTGGTGGCCCATTTGGAGGTGGGAGTCTGTGGGTGCTCAGGAAGCTCCCGTGGGAGCCGTGGCCGAGGGGCTTTGTCACCATGGCTGCCCACCAGGGGGCCTATGTGTCAGTCTGGCCATGAGGTCTGGCCACGGCAGAGCTTCAAACTGCGGTCAGGCTGAGGCTCCGCAGCCYGGGTGCACCGAGGCCCTGGGTGCTGGGTGTGGGGGGCGGCTCCTCAGCAACGGCATTCCCGGGGGCTGCATGGATTCAGATTTTGGTCCTCGGTGCCTGGCAGATGCCCTGCGTCGTGGTCCCTGGAATCTGGGACCAGGGACAGGGCAGGAGTGGCACCGAGTGATCTTCAGTGCCACCCTGGAGAGACCTGGCATCAGCACTGAAGATGTTCGTGGGACTTTCCTGACCCTGACCCTCCCACACCCTTTCCCGCGGTGGCTTCCTGTCTTGCACGTTTCCTGGGTGTGCTTTCCTCTGCCGTGAAGATCGTCCTGGACACCGCGCTCGGGGACGGCACACTGTGCTGTGCAGAGGGACATTCCGCGCTGGTGAGTCCTGGGTGTTTTCAACAGGAGCGAGACGGTCCTGGGCTCCCACAGACCTGCCTCTGGTGACCTGCTCGACGTCAATTCTGAGGGTGACTGTGGAATTGGCGACGAGGAGCCTTTCCAAGGTGCCGGGAGGCTGTCGAGCTGCGGGTGCTTCTCGCTCGCTGGCAGGGTGGAGGCCGCTCACCTCCCTCCGGGTGCCCAGACTGAGAGGGGGCCCCTGAAGTCCTGGCAGGGGGAGTGCTGCAGGTGTGGTGAATTCCGCATAAAGTTGCATGGACGTTTTTAAGAAATGAAGCGTGGCGCGTCCACCCCATTGTTAAGCCCGTGTGTGCCCAGCCCCGGAGGCTGCGGAGATGCCTGCTCACCAGCAAACGCGACCAGGCAGAGCTCAGTTCCCTGCGAGTAGTAAAAACGGGGGGGGGGGACTTAAAGAAGACGGACAGTCACTCTCCTGCAGGCCAGAGAGGTCCAGGGGCAGGCAGTGCAGGGTGGGGGCTCCACTGGCCACCAGCGACTGGGGTGCTTCCTGCCACGGCTCTACTGCCCCAGGATGTGGCCCTTGTCCTCGTGGCCCAGATGAGCTGAAGCTCAGCCACTGTACTGACACCCGGCAGCCGGAAGGAGACAGGGAGGAAGGCTGGGCTCYGGAGGGACAAGGAAACTCCATGAACGAGTCGTTCTAAAGCCTGGCCTCTGTGGCCTCTGTGGCCTGTGGCCTGTGGCGCAGGGGAAGCTGGGAAACGCAGTCCTCCTGCGGGCAGCAGCGTGGCAGCTGCTGGGTTTGCTGCGTGAGATGAAGGGCAGGGTGGGCATGACGGGGCCSACGAGTTTCCACAGCGACCCAAGAGACGAGGACACAAGGGGTCAGAAGAGAGGGACAGGCAGGCKGGAGGGGGTTTGGGTGGAGAAGCAGCACATTCTGAGGAGCCCAACAGCGGAAACTCCCACAGACCTGAGAAGCAGGGCGCGGGGGGCTGAGAGAGCCACCTGGGCGCGAGGGCCAGAGCTGGCTGTGCCTCCAGGGCTCTGTGACAAGACTGGCTCCATCTTACTGAGAAGGGCTTGTGAGTGACAGGTRGCCCGTCTCCGGGGCTGTCACGCCGGCTCCTGGCCTCTGCTTCGGCAGCCTGCGGTGGCTCTGGCTGCGCTTGGCGCCCCCGGGCCGGCTAGAGCCATGCTCACGTGTTTCGGGGCCGGCGTCCTTGGCCACCGCCTCCCCCTGCCCCGTGCGAGGACTCCAGGGTGTCTGCTCGATGCCGCCCGAGGGCTGCTGTGCTGGCCGGGCCACCTCAGGACCCTCCAGGTCCCCCTGCCCCGGGGGCCTCCGAGAGCCCTCTGCTGGACCTTCCTTCCCCACGGGGACGCACTCTGTCCCTTCGCTGGCTCCTGTCCCTCGGGGGTGCCGCCTTTGCCAGCTGCTCTGCATTTCCTCCTGCTGCCTGGTCCCCGCGTCTGGAGGCCCCTGCCGTGTCCGGTCTCCGTCCAGCAGGTCCAGCAGCGGGCCTTTCTCAGGACGGTGTTGATTCATTTTTTAGCCCCTGTGCTAGGTGGCCTGTCCCAGCGTGGTGGTGGCAGGTGCCATCTTTTAGAAAGCCACAAAGTCACACGAAGACACACCCTGTGTCCAGGGAGTCCCCGCGCTTCACCCTGAGGAAGTTCAAGAGGCCCAGGGCCCGGCCTCCGAGCAGCAGGGATAGGAAATGGCCCCCGCGTCCAGGAGTGTGGCCCGGCCAGAGAGACCCCGTCCTTGACCGAGGGTTCGTCACTTAAAGTGGGTTTCGAGAATGGTTCTAGAAAATTCCTGGGGACAAGAGGCCTGTGGCCCGGACAGCTGGGGGGAGGGAGGCCCGTGAGAGCCTCTCCTCTCACTCACATGAGGCTGCGCAGGATTGAAAGGGAAGAAGGATGGGGTGAGGGGAGGAGAGGCATAAATCCACCGTAGAACACCTGAATCTGTTAGGAAACTCACTGATCCAGTTCTCAAGCCGCTGGCACGAAGTAGAGTCTTCCCTCTCTGAGCCGGGGAGAGGCTGGGCTGGGGGGCAGCGGCCTGAGAAGGTGGCATGGCCGTAGCTGAAGGCCACAGAGGTCATGACCTGCGGCCATAGGCTCTTTAGGACCCCTGCAGCCTGGGGAGCAGGGAGCAGGGCGCTGGGGGGACAAAGGCCCAAGGCCCAGGTCCCTTCTGTGCTGCAGCCCCCAGAAGTGACAGTCCCTCCCGACACAGCTGCACCTGCTCTGTGCGCCGAGCCGGGCCGGGCCCCGTCGGTCAGCCTGCTCCTCCTCCTCCCCTTTCCGACTCCTTCTGTCCTTTCTAAGGAGAGGCTCCAAAGGCCTCGGGACCCTGCCCACTCTGACTCAGGGGCTCGGAAGGTGCCAGCACAGCAGCCCGGGAGCCAGGGACGGTAGAGGCCCAGCCCCGGCGGGAGGCCCGGCAGTGCTGTCCTGGGCCACCCCTGCTCCCTGCCCTGGCCCGGCTCTGCCCAGGGACCTGGCTCTGCCCTGCGCCCCAATGGCTTTCCCCAGCTCTTCCCAAAGGGAACGTTCCCAGTCCTGGGGGCTCAGTGCACAGAGGTCGCACTGCTGCCGTCCACGCGCCCCGCCTCTGCCTCTGTCTGTCCTCTCCACAGCGCACGTCAGGAGGAGCAGCAGTTTCAACGACTGTCTACCCGACTGTGGCTGCCCCGCATCCGGAAACCCCACAAGGGCAGGAGCCGGGCACCTGGTTTGCAGCTCCAGCACCACCGCCTAGCCCCGTGAAGGATTTATAGTTGGTGTTTAATAAATGTGTGTGAAGGAGCAAAACCTCGGGCTGGGGCTGTGCAGTCTGCACAGTGGAGGAGGATGTAGCATGAGGCTGGGCTCACTCCCTGAGGCCTGTGTTAGAGGCTTGCTCTTGTTTCTAACTAGCTGTGTGACCTCCAACAGCTTACTGAGCCTCTCTGAACTTCCTCACCTTCCCTGCATCTCTGGAATAACACATTGGCAGGGTGAGGTCACAGTCAGGTCCTGAGGCAGGGCTTGGGGCAGGGTGAGGGCAGCCCCAGGACCCTTCCTTGCCTGTCTACCCAACAGAAGGAAGCGTCATTAACGGGGCACCTCCTGTGTGCTGGGCAACATACCAGGAAGCCAGGAGGCAGAGGTGAATAACAGAAACCCTCCCTGCGCTTGGCGATGGCAGGTAAGAGCCTGGGAGTTTGGGTCACCAAGCTGGTGTCAACAGGGAGAGGGGCAGACAGGGCGGAACACAGAGGCCTGGGCCAGCTGGGAGTCACAGGCAAGTGACATTTCTCCTGAGACGGCCTGTGAGCGAGTGCTGGGTCAGTGCGAGGCAGGCGGAGGGTGGGCACAGGCCCCGAGGCAGGGCGGAGTGGGCACCCTGGAGCGGGAGGCTGGGGGCTGGCCTGGAGGCGGGCAGTGGCTGGCCACCTGTTCCTGCCCGTTCTGGCCTGAGTCGCACTGCCCGCCAGGCAGTGTGGCCGGGGCATCTGGCCACAGCACTAGGGGAGGGGGCTGCCCTTACCTTTGGCAGTGCGTACTTGGGCAGCTTCATCAGGACAAAGTCACTGCGTCGGTAAGAGACGTAGTATTTAGTCCGGTTTGTAGAAGTCGCCTAAGAAAGGAAGGGAGGGAGGGACGGGGGAGGGAGGAGGG